GCTTTTAAAAGTCGATTTTTATCGATTTTATCGATTCGTTGTTGCAGCCCTAGTATGTACATATAAGCATTGAAGCAAGGAGATGCTCCACTCTGCCTTGTGGTTCAGTCAGGAGACCACCCTGCCTTGTGATTCAGTGGGTGGAGCCTCCTGTCTTATGAACTGATAATTTGTTCTGTCAGAACCATACTGTTTTGTAACCATGTGTTATGTTCTGTTAATAAAAGACGGCTGCAGGAGGGGAGTCGGAGAAAGAGTTGGAAGTTAGGTTGGGCTCTTTCCGCTCCTGCAGAAGCTGTTGTTGAAAATCCCTCTCTGTGTATTCAGTCCTTCTTTTACAAACCTACATTTTTGAACCTAACAATGATCTGCGGTATTACTGCCAATATTGAAGGAGGAAATCAAGCAGTTGGTGGCAGTAATGCACCAAAAGTTGTTTGCCAACCGCCATAAAACACAAGAAGAAGAAGACAAAGACGGAGGGAATCAAGTAAATCAAAATGGCGTCGCTCGTCACATTCAGAAAGTTATGCTTAATTATTATTGCTGTACTTCGGTGTTTGTGGAGGGTCGGGCGAGGACGGCAACCTTTTGTGGATGTTTATAGTTGTTCTTCTTCTCTTTTGTGTTGGTTGGCAAGCAACTTCCGGAGGGGCATTACCGCCAACTACTGGAATGGAGTGTGAATCGGGATGTGCAACCAGACGGAGATGACGCATTCTGCTCATCCTCTCTTGTTATCAGAGAACCAAGCCAGGGAAAAACCGAGCCGAGCCCACCTCTGGAACTGGTCTACAGTTAGCTCGGTTCGGTTGTGTCTAGCTCGGTTCAGTTCAGTTTGCTTTCCATTTACACACGATAAGTTATCGCAGTTACTGAGCTCGGACCGGTCTCGGCACGGTTTTTCAAGGGTAGTGTAAATGGGGTAAATGTAATTAGTAATGAACCTGGGGACGCAATCATGTGTCATCAGGGTGAACAACAGGGGGCTCAGGATGCAGCACTGAGGAGAGCCTGTGCTTAGACTAATGACAATCTTAATGGATTACTTCCCTGGGAAAAAAAAGATAAAACAAATAAATAATGTGGATTACCAGACAGGTGATGGTAAACACATAGCTGAAAAGCTACCAGTGTTTAATTTAGTTGTCCCTGTTGACTGCTCTTTTTTTAAATTTTGATTAGCTCTCCATCTGAGAAGCACATTTACTGATTAGCTTTCTCCATCTTTAGGCGAAATGGAGCCGTCACCCACATCAAGATCCAAAACACAGGAGACTATTATGACCTGTACGGCGGGGAGAAGTTTGCCACTCTTGCTGAGCTGGTGCAGTATTACATGGAGCATCATGGGCAACTGAAAGAGAAGAATGGAGATGTCATTGAGCTCAAGTATCCACTCAACTGTGCGGATCCTACATCAGAAAGGTGAGAGAAACATTTTTGCTTCTAACACGAATTAATTAATCCCTGCGGTGAATGATACAAAATATTATTATTAGATCATCAACATCCCTGACAGTCATCTAATTAGCATGAGTGATATGAGTCTGAGCTCAGAACGGCATTACAACAAAATTCTGAGCTTTATCGGTACAGGTCAGACTTTCTGATTTGTTTTGGTGGAAACTACTGCTAATGATATAAGCTAATATTTTTCTCTCCATTTAAGGTTTTCAAACACAAAATGAACATGTTCTACGTTGGGCTTTTACAGAACTATGTCTACCACCAGTTAATGAGATGTAGAAGTGAAGCTTTTGAACCTGCATCTTTCTCTAAAAACTAGAAGCACAACGGTCATATTGAATACTAAATTTGTGAATGCGCAAGCAGGACCCCTCAGAATATAGCAAATGTCCTTTCATGTAATTGATTTACTGTAAATCTATTGATGGAGTAAGCAATTTAAAATATTTAGATGCATAAATATCTGTTAATTTCACCTGTTTTTTGTTTTTTTTTCCTGCCCCACAAAATAGATTGATAATACAATGCAATTAAAAAATATTTTATCGAAATATATGTTGGACTTGATTTTTTCTATGTGTTAAAGTCGTAGTGAAATCATATTTAAATATCCAATCAATTTGGCTTTAATATGTATATAAATGTACTCTTTATCAGACCAGATTGTCCCAAAATTTAGAAATTTGTATTTAAAAAAAAAAAAAAAAATCCTGTCTTAAAATCTGTGGGGGTTTTTTCCGTTATCTTATGCAGACCAGTTAGTTATATGTCAGACTGAACACCTAAATTCAGCCAATCATATATCAACGGTCATCTGTGAATACATTTTTTCCGTCATTGGATCTTGATTAATATGTTGCAGCTAATATATGCAACGGTTAAAATAAGATTCAACAATTTCCTTTCCCATTGAGTTCCGTCCCGGTGTTCACGGGGATGGACGTCTGTGTCTTCAGCAGGCGTAGAGCTAACAGAACTGGCAGCGTTGCGAGGCAAGGCCTCAAACATGTACGGCTGCAAGCCTTCTACACCAAACCAAGCTTCTGCCGCCCTGGCGTCCTCTTCCACAACATCTTCGTCTCCACTTTCCTCCTCTAAATAAATAATGTATGATGGAGACTTATCCACGACCTCCTTGACAGTGTCGTTTCTAAGTCACCAATTTAGTGCTACTTGGTCCCAATGGAATTTCCCATTGGAAACCTACTAGCACTAAGTTATTAACTGGTTAGCAAAATGTTTCTGATAAACCGGCTACAATCAAACTTGCTTCTGAACCTTCCACCACAACAATCCCGCCCTCTTGATAAATGACCAATCACATTCACCTTATTCACTCGTGTAAAGTCGTGCACCACTCGGAAGAATTCTGAAATGCAACGGTTGGAACAGCCGTTTCCCTACGACTTTAAGGTGCATTTCTTCTTGCCATGTCCCATCATGATTGATGAAAAAGTTGCCTTTAATTCCCTCCTCCTTTCTCCTCTTTTTGATCCTACTCTGCATCCTTTGGACCTCCTTTTCAACTCACCTGGGACTTGTGGAAGTAGTAAAAGCATTATTACAGCTTTGAACATGTTAATGAGTAGCTCCCTAGTGTTAAAAGCAAAAAAAAAAAAAACCTGACTTGTGGTTCATATGGTTACGCATCATAACAAATGTCTAAAAATGCTGCATAGCAACCAACACTACATCTAAATAAACATTAAAAAAGGGAAACTGATCCACAAATGGAAGGAACCTTATTAAAAAAAAACTATTATATCAAAATCAAGCTAGCAGAGCTACTCCAACATGGAGCCACTTTAACCAGGACAATTCTAGAACCACTAAGGACAATCATCTGGGAATAAATGTTCTAGCTTTCAGGAAGACAGATCTTCATTGCTAGAATAATCCATATATAGGTCACAACATCAGTTTCACTTTCTGGTTCAGATATCAGGGCCCCTGAGGTGAGATTAATTATGGTCTGTAGTTTCTTAAAGCCCTGTTGTTCATGCTGCAAATGTGTTTGTGTCATGTTAAAAACATCTATTGCAGCCTGGCTTAGCTGGCTTTATATAACAAATGGCAAGCATCCGATGCCATTAAAATATAAGACCGACACTTGAGTTATCATGGATATAACACCTTTTTAAAATAAACATTAAGGAAAGACCTCAGCAAATTTCCTTTGAGGCAACATTATTTGAAGCCAAATTTTAAGGAATGTCAGAAGCAGAGGTCTTCAACAGGGGGTCTGCAACCCCTAGAGGGTCCACAGAGGTACTGCATGCGGTCGTGAAAGTTTTGGTTGATTAGATTTATTTATTTATTTTTTTTATATTCCCCCCTGCAATTTTTTTCCACTAACTGAAATGTCTTTAAATCCACATTAACATGAATTGAACACACTGTAGTAAACGGATACATGGAGGCAGAAGATGTCTTTCAGTCATCAATGCACACATTCAGCCACACACAGGAGCTCTTTAAGCTGGGCACCGTTTCATTCACAACACCTGTCCCATCAACCAGGAATCAGAATCAGAAATACTTTATTACAGATGGAGTGATGCAACGACATTACTCCATCTGTAATAGAGTGACTATAGGAGCAGTTTGATATAACACAATTTCATACAATATATATAATTAGGGGTTCCATCTCGCCATCAATTTAGGTTCCTTGGCCTGGAAAACATTGAAGACCCCTGCCCTGAGGCCAATGTTTTCTTTTGTCCCATTTCCTACATCATTATTTTGAAAGACTTTTCATGCATAAAACTACATAACCAATTATTCCTATATTAGTGTTAAACAATTTACTTATGCCTGTTTTATTCTGCCTTGCTGCTGACAATTTTTTTTTTTGTGAAAAGGAACAAATATTTTCAATAGTTTCTGTTTAGCTTCTGTTCAGTCTGACAAAGGAGCCTCGATTTGTAGATCTTTGAAATGTTTATTTTTTCCCCACAATTTGCGGTATTGTTATTGCTTTCCAAAGTACTGTAAACACAAAGTAAACTCAAATGTTTAAAGAAATTAGTTTACATTTGAGGACATATTTTAGTTGGACTATTATTTAACAGTTCTAATGTTAACTGAGGTTGTACTAAGATTCTTTGATCATTTAAGCTCGGCAGATGTTCTCTTCTATTTGCTGCTTATTTCATTTTGAATTCAATAAAATTTTTTGTCTTTTTCTCTAGATGGTTCCACGGACACCTGTCAGGCCGAGATGCAGAAAAGCTCTTAACGGAGAAAGGCAAGAACGGCAGTTTCTTGGTGCGAGAGAGCCAGAGCCACCCTGGTGACTTTGTACTGTCGGTTCGCACCGGGGACGACAAGACGGACACCAATGATGGCAAACCCAAAGTTACTCATGTCATGATCCGCTGCCAGGTAAGAGAGGTCTAACCCATTCTGACTCTATCTGACTACATCTTCTGTTTAAGGGGAAAGCAAACAGGTGCTTCTTGTAAGTAACTGAAAACGACTGTTAGTGTGGGGTTAGGAAGCTGAGACAGAGGCATTTCTTGCAAGAAAAAAAGGTTCAAATTAATTTAACGTCCTCAGACAGAGAGATAGGGCTCTGACTGAGGCAACCTCAGTACATACATGTATACTTTAAAAAATTTCCAACACACACCTGCCCCCAGGGGAACCAACCCACCCCCTGCATAAAGAACTTTCTCACACTTGAACATTTGGAGGAAAAGCAACTTGAGTTCATTAAGACCATTCTCTGTTAGGTTTATTTATCTTTCACTGGCCAAATGGATCTCCTCAAAACAACAGTCCTGTCCTTCATGCCATGCAGGAACCTGTTTAACTCATTCTTATCTCTTATGACCTTCGTTTGGAGCCTGTCAGGCTAAGAACAGACGTATCTCAACATTTTTTATACCACATTAGTTTAATGGTTTAGTCTGAAGATATTCTTATAGATTCCGTTTTTAAGATGTTTACATTTGGTTACAGGAAAAACAGATGAGCACTGTTTTTGTGCAGCCTGCCATGTACTTAAACTGATAACAAATTAAATTGGTACAATGAAAAATCCCAGATTTCCCTATTTGCTCACTTAAGGTCAACTTTTGACTGTGATATTTTAACAAAAAGAAGTGTGCCTATTTTGGGTGACGGATGTCTTTTACATGTTTATTTTTAATTAATCCCTTTTATATATTTTGCAATAATGTTTGCAATAATGATGCTATTCTTCTATTTGTTTTTTTATTTGAGGGAAAAGCACGTCGCAGACACTTTAACTGTTACTTCTTTCTTTGTCAGAATTTGGTGTAGGTACCAGATCTGCTCGGGGTTCTGCTTCCAGTGACGTTGCGCTACATGATTGGCTGAACGTTGCCACATGATGTAAAACGTTGTGGTTGAACAGACAAATATAATAACATCACGCAGCGACCGTGTGCTGAGTCGGATGCATCTGTAGTGTTAGCGTTTCTAATGACTGATTGAGTTTTACCTGATTGATTTAAAAAACAAAACAAATGGTGAACAAAGTAACTGTTAGACCATGTTAAGGGGGAGAACTCGTTGATGCGGAAGCTAGCTGTGTTCAGTAGCTAACAGGTTAGCCTCTTTTAGCTCGGTCAGTTAGCCATATTATCCTACACTACTTTTAACTTTGTGTCAAAAACGTTTGTTTTCTTCAAGTAAAATAACTGTTTTATTCGTCTAAAATCTCTACAAAAGTTTTTTTTGAGATGTTTCATTTGTCCTCCTTGTCCTCAGATCTAAATAAAAAGAATAAAAATAAGCTGAGCCTTGTTTTGTCATCTTGTTAAACGGTCTATCTTAGAATGCAGTACTTTTCTTCAAGACTGAAATGATTGTTTTCTACTTTCTGCTACTTTAGATCGCAGATCTGACCACCCGAGCAGATCTGGTACCTACACCGGCGCAGAACATCGCCTGTTTGAACTACTACTATGTCTTTATTACTAAAGGAAAAGCTAACCACACATTTTTATTTCTCATTCTAAACAGGGAAAATGTTACCAGCAAATTGTCTTATGATGTAATTTTACCTTTCTTGGTTAAAAATACCCAGCAGATGTAAATTGTTTTATTACTGTTGGAAAAACAGAATCATTTTAATTGGATTTTTGTAAGTCTGATTGATCGATGTGATTTCTTTTGGATTCCCTGTCTCAGGCTGATCTGAAGTACGACGTGGGTGGAGGGGAGAAGTTTGACTCCCTCACAGACTTGGTGGAGCACTACAAGAAAAACCCCATGGTGGAAACCCTTGGCACTGTCCTTCAGCTCAAACAGGTCTGCATCTGTTTCGATTTAAACAGTCCACAAGCAGCACTGTGTTCCTGCTCATTAGTAAGCTAATGAGCTACTCTCTGTCCTGTCTACTGCAGCCCCTCAACACGACTCGTATTAACGCCGCAGAGATTGAAAGTCGAGTTCGGGAGCTGAGTAAACTAGCGGAGGCCACAGACAAGGTCAAACAAGGCTTCTGGGAAGAGTTTGAGGTAATTGGTTAAGCATTTTACTGAACAACTTTTCCCTTTTCTTCTGCAATAATTAATGGATGTTTGCCTGGATCATGGTGGTTGATGGTGGGAGTTTATTTTCTTTAGTCATAGTGGCTGTCACACTGGCTGAACATGTTTTTTGTCTGTAAAATGTTAGCATCTTGTGGCAAAACAATGCGATACAGCAATAAAAGGTTCTTCATCTTACCTTTTACTCTATAATTAATTTCCCTGAGACTCAAGAATCTTTACAGGGTCATTGTATAATGACTTTAGAAACAAATAGAAACTTTTATTCATCTGCATTAAGATACATCCTGGTCATGTTAATGTAGTCTGAGTAAAAAAAATGTTTGCGCAAGATACATGCCATATGAAGACCTGAAGAATAGCATTGCTATTGCTAGTATCAGTAAGGCTGCATGCTCTAGCGTCCATGAATTTGGCAGCAAAATCTAAATGCTTCTGCAGCGTTAGCTACAGTTTCTGTAAACACCTTCGTTTTAAACTTTTTTTCTTTTATCTTGGACTTTTCCTTTCTTTTCCCCGCTCGTTGTTGCTAACTCTGCTTCCATTGCTCCTTCAATAGGCCAAGTATTTGTAGCGCTCCTTTATGTTTACCCATTGTGCGCATGCGCAACGTCTTACCTTCCTTCACAAGGCCTTGTGAAGGTAAATATACGAGAGAAAAAAAAGTAAAAGAAAAAAAATATATAAGAAGCCAACAGGGAGCCATCATTTATTTAGAGGACCGTTTTATGTAACCAGAGTATCCATCCATTTCCAATTTCCATCATGCGTATCCCAAGGGGCGTTGCGAGGGGTGCTGGTGCCCAACTCCAGCTGTCTATGGGCGAGAGGCGAGGTAAACTCTGGACAGGTCGCCAGTCGATTGCAGGGCAACATGGAGACAAACGGGACAAACAAATCATTCACACACTCATGCCTAAGGAGAATTTAGAGAATCCAATTAATCTACTAGTCATGTTAGGGAGGAAGCCGGAGTATCCAAGCATGCACAGGGAGAACATGCAAACTCCATATGTGCTTTTAAAGTAATTTAGAAAAGTCTCCCAAGTCTCTTCCAATGACTTTAGGGTAGCCACTAAGGGAGAATCTAGGCTTTTCCAGGGTGATTGTCAGGAACACGTCCTGCAACCACCTTCTGTGAGACGGTAGATGAGGGTGTTTTCCCAAAGTGTCCTGTCCAACAGGGTAACAGGGGCTGGAAGAGTTTATATTACCTTGGAATTAAACACCAAAAAAGGCTAAGAGAATTTAAGGAATTATTGTAGTGTAAGCTTTGCTATGGATTTTGAAAATTTCAGCTCAAAATGTTATGTATAAAAGGCCGTTTTAATTGTAATGTGGCTAGATTTCTATCAGTATGTCACCAAATTCAAAACTTCACCAGACAGAACACATATTCATTAAGTTCCTACTTTTTCTTTCTTTTTAAAACTTGACATACCGTATATATATATTTTTTTCCTAAATAAACTTTAGTAATGATAGAATTTGTGTCAGAAATGATGGGCCGAGCTGTATGCGTGCGGGCAGATTAAGACTTAAAGCAGATGAGACCACCCAAAAGGGATATGTGTCAGGGACCAAGCAGAAAGCCAAAGGGACACATGAGGTCAATTGAATTTATCAATACTTAGCCAAGTACACTTAACCAAGGAAAACCGACCTAACACAATGACATATGACGGCAACATATATAGTGGTTTGGCCAAATCAAAAAACAAAGAAAGGGGAAAACAAGATGGCTGATAATTAACTAAAGCATTTAAACTAACATAGTTCAGTGGTACATGGTAGAGCTTAATGAGCCAGTGACCAGTTTTAAGCCTTCTCAGCCCGTTGCCATGCCTTTGCTTGTCAGGAAAGAGCCTCATCTCCCACCATGGCAACTCAAACAAGGGAAAGAAATGTTAACAAAAGAAAATACCTTCAACTGCTGGTATGTGTGCACGCCATGAGAGCAGTGCAAGATAAACCAAATTACAAAATGAAAGAAAAGAATAAAAATATTACCACAGTGGGGCTCCACAATATGATTGGAGATCACAGAATGATGTTAAAATAAGTGTCGATCAGAGGATGAGACACTGGTTTCCATGTAAACTGAGAGGTGTTAGATGTTTTTTTCTTTTTAAATGGTTGAGTTGTTCTCCTTTTCTCTCCATGCAGACTTTGCAGCAGCAAGAATGCAAGCTGCTCTACAGTCGCAAAGATGGTCAACGACCAGAAAACAAAAACAAGAACAGATACAAGAACATTTTGCCTTGTGAGTAACCCGGGGCAACAATCAGAGCATACCCAGGCAGGATGTATCTATGGAGACCTGGGCAGCTCCTAACAGGTTTGTTTTTGTTTGTGTTGACAGTCGATCACACGCGCGTAGTTCTAAACGACGGAGACGCCAGCGAGGCAGGCTCTGACTACATCAACGCCAACATTATCATGGTAGTATCTGCTGTCAGTATTGAGTCAATTTTTTCTCCAGGTCTCCACATTCACTCACTTTTTGTTGTGACAGCTGTACAGTCATATTCAGTAATGAATGGATGAAAGTTACTGCAAAGTTTGATTTCTGCGAGTCATTTCACTTGGTGAAACAAATTATATGGATTGATTATTAAACATAAAAATGGTTTTTAGGCCTTTATTTGTTATAGTGAGTTACAGATAATAAAAACATGATATTTAGGGTTAAAATATTACATCACACCAATTAAAGCTGACAAACTGTCATTCCTGAAACAATCTGATTTATTGAATATGACTATATTTAGCAAGTCATTTTCAGCTCTTTCTGCTGTCTCTGTGGATCTGATTTCGGTTTCTTGTCTTAAATGCTTGCAGCCGGAGGCGGACACAAAGTGCAACAACGCCAAGCCGAAGAAGAGCTACATCGCCACTCAGGGCTGTTTGCAGAACACCATCAGTGACTTTTGGCGGATGGTTTTTCAGGAGAACTCTCGAGTCATTGTTATGACCACCAAAGAGGTGGAAAGAGGGAAGGTCAGTTAAGATCCATTACTATGAAATGGGACTTATTTTTTAGGTCTTTGTTTTGCCGGTGAAGGTTCTCAGTCATCCAGGTCATAGTCGTTCCAAAAAAAGAAAATTAAAAACAATCCACTGGACTTTGTTTCCAAGTTTGAAGATGTTCGCTTCCATCCAGGAAGCTTTTTCAATCCAAAATGTCAGGAAAAAGGTTGAGTTTGAAGTTTTATACAGTAGCCCAATAAAGCCATGTTTTTGTTTTGGAAACATGCAAATTGGAACGGACGAAGGGGTCCACCCCTTTGGAATGGGGAAACGAGCATTTGAGTTAATCCCTTCTCGCTATCATCGCAGCCCCAGCCCCTGTACAGGAGAGTGGAGGACCTCGCCTATTCAGCCAGGCCAACGACCCCCGGGTATGGGGCATTGCAGTCTAACAAAAGAAGCCAAACACCCCCATTCCAAAGGGGTGGACCCCTTCGTCTGTTTCAATTTGCATGTTTTCAAAACAAAAACAAGATTTTGATGAGCTACTGTATAAAACCTCCAACTCGATGCAATTTCTGACATTTTGAATTGAAAAAGCTTCTTGGATGGGAAGCAAAATGTCTTCAAACTTGGAAACATAGTCCAGTGGATTGTTTTCAATTTTGTTTTTTTTGGAAAGTCTTTGGTTTGTTTTAATCTTTTTAGCGGTAGATATGTTTTTAACTGTTCCGATTTAAAATGATGCGATCTGTTTCCACAGAGTAAGTGTGTGAAGTACTGGCCCGAGATGTCAGCTCTGAAGGAGTACGGGGCCATGCGTGTTCGCAATGTCAGGGAGACAAACGCTCATGACTATATTCTCAGAGAACTGAAGCTTTCCAAAGTTGGTCAGGTGAGTAGCTGGTATAGGGTGTCCACTTGGTTATAAAAGGAATACAAAGTTATCTTTTTTTTTAATGACCAATTATATATGTTTTTTTTTTCTCCCATTTGTTAAATTTCTACCTCCTAAAGATATATAAATTAATGATTAAACCTGAGAATGCCGTGATAAAAAGACATCAGTCAGTGAAGGGAAAGTAGGTGATCAAAGTATCCCTGCTTTAAAAACCTAATCAGTCAGTCTATGCTCAAACTAAACAGCCCTTAGCATAGCTGCTAATGTCTGCGCCAAGACAGGAGCACGCAAATCTAAATCTTTAGGACGTAGGCAGCATTTATGGCTGTGTCTCTTTGCAGTGCTCAGCAGGAGTCTTCCTCTTAACAGGAATGAGTTTTTATGGCAAACTGTTTTAAATGAGACGGCAAGGAGTATCTGGCAGCAACACGGCCCAGAGCAGCCAGGCGCTGGAACCCGCAGCATCCCGACTGTTTTCCATTTCTGCTGGGAGAAGAAACAGAGAAAAGTGCCCGACTAGACTTTCAGGGGAAAGAAGACAAACTTGCCCAATGTTGCCATGTCATTGAGGGGATGGCTTAGTGATTAGAGCATTGCGCTTGGGTCTCGGAGATTCTAAGTTCAGTTGAATTAAACAATATTACTTGATTTGAGTTGTCAGGGTTACTGCATTTAGCCACTGCAAAAGGTGCACAATAAATAGACAATTTTCAATAGCTTTCTACTTAGCTACTCCCATCTTAGTAGGAAAGCTTTCTGCACAGTTTTAGCATGTAGTTGTGTAAATATAAAACATTGTGTACAGGTTTTAAAAACCGGTTCAATTAAATGTTAGAATTGAATTCAGTTTATTTATATAGTGCCAATGTCATCTCAAGGCACTTTACAGTTCACCAGATCATACAGTCAAATTGATTCAAAGTTTTCTATCTAAGGAAACCAGATGATTGCAGCGACTCATTGACTTGAGGGCAATTCCTGTATCTACCCTATTCTATGTTTTCCTGATGCTGTGCAAAAGCATAGTTTGATCACAAGTATTTTTATTTCTTTATTTGGAAGTTTGAAATGACCACAATTTCCCATTTTCCTCCCTAAAAACTTTCTGTTTATGCTTCTCCGGGTTTAAAACGATTTCAGGGTAACACAGAGCGCACAGTGTGGCAGTACCACTTCAGAACCTGGCCGGACCACGGCGTCCCTACTGACCCAGGTGGTGTGCTGGACTTCTTGGAGGAGGTCAACCTGAAACAGGAGAGCATTTTGGACGCAGGACCCATCACAGTACACTGCAGGTACTCTCAGATCTGTGCTGGAATCACTGACTTTAGAAGTAGAAATACCATCAACTACAACAGTTTTCTTCCTTCCGCCTCAGTGCAGGGATCGGACGGACGGGGACGTTTATAGTGATCGACATCCTGATAGATGTGATCCGAGAAAAAGGTGAGACCATCTGCTCAAGAAAACTGCAAGAATTTTTACCAAATCATGGTAAAAACTGATGATTTTAGCACATTTATAGAAATATTAAATGTTATTTTTTTAAACACTGTCTTTTTATTGAGTTTTCCTTTTATACATACAGTTTGTAAATACAAAAAATATATAATTGTCCAATAAAGATAGATATAGAAACAAATACAGTAAAAACAATCCCTACAAAAAAAAGAAGAAAAAAAAATCCCATTCAGCCCACCCAGGTCACTACCAAGAGGTCAACGCACTACTTTCCTATCCCTGACTTAGACAGAACACATTTTATTGAATCTTTGTTCTGAAATTTTTTTTTCTTTTTTTTATCTGGAGCATTATTGTAAGTTTTGGAATGTGTCAAGAAAGGGCCCCCTGTATCTCTTCAAATTTACCAGTTGAATGTTGGACAGAACATTTAATTTTTTCCAGTTTCAGACATGACATGAGGTCACATAACCACTGTTTGTGAGTTGGAGGAGCCGCACCCTTCCACCTGGTCAGAACTGTGCGCCTCGCTAACAGTGAGCAGAACGGCAGTGCCTGCCATTAGTGCCTGCCGAAATATTAGATGTTATTTTAAAAAAAATCAATGAGAACCTATTGGGAAAAACTATTGATCGCAAAGTGAAATGATATCTGGTCATAACCTCTAGGGTTTGTTTCGTTTACAATTGTAGCTGTCTGTATTGCACCAGATCTTGAGAAGCTTCTGATTGAAGACACTCTGTTGATCATTCTGATAGACAATGCGCTCTGTTGTCCATGCTTTTCCTCATATGTGAAATCATCTCCAGGGTCCTAGAGGAGCCCCTAGAACAGCCAGCCCTAGCTTAACTTTCTTGTTGTTTTTAAATTTATTAACTATATTATGCGTTTTGTTTCACACAGTACCCTATTAATAAGAGAACGTGACATCTTCCTAGTTTACCTCTACTGTCTTTAAAGTTGTAGGGAAGTCATATTTAAATGTCAAACCATTCTGGCTT